TGACTCCTCTCCACATTTATTATTTGTTAACCAATTGTACTCAACCACAATCTTTGCATATATTGGTCCCGGATGACCTTTTTGGATATCAATGTGCACCTGAGCACAGACTATGGACATTAAATCTGAACTGACATTCATAGAGTGTCTTAGATGCTCTTTTAGTTGTGTTACGTCTCTGCACAACAAATGTTGCTGCCTACAACAAATTCCTATACCTGTTGGAAAGATGGTGGAAGGAGGCAATGAGGCCAGCGTGTCCATACCGGAGATACGCCATCCTCAATGCATGTTCAGCACTAAGGCTGCATAGCGTTCTTGGTTACTTGGATGCTCTTGGCTGCACAATGGCATTGGTTGTTATGGTGGTGTGCAGCCAACAGCATCCTAACAAGCAATGACACTGGGCTGACAGTGTCCTAGCAACCAATCATGCCATGAGCCAGCAGCGTCTTAGCAACCAATAATTATGTGAGCCTACAGCGTCCTAGCAATCAGTGACGCTGTGGACTGACAGCGTTCTAGCAACTAGTGACACTGTGAGCTGACAGCATCCTGTCAACTAATGCTGCTGTGAGCCTACAGCCTCCTAACAACCAGTGACACTGTGGGCTGAAAGTGTCCAAGCAACCAATGATGCTGTGAGCCTTCATTGTCCTAGCAAACAAGGACCCTGTGGGATGACAGCTTCCTATCAACCAGTAATGGGGGGGGGATGGGGGTGGCAATGGCACTGCTTATCCCAAAATGACATTTGCTGAATTACCTTCACTTTTCTTAACTCCAAAATGGCAGCATTTATTGATGAATTTATTGCTGCCATAGCGACATAATATAAAAGTGTCACAAATAAGAAACTTGTTGCGTATGTAGGAATTAACTACAAAACTATTATGAATTTGGCGCAAGTTTATAAAAATCCATAAAGCCAGAATTATGGCATAGAGCCTTTGTTGAATTGCCACCTCTGTCTTCAATGAGCACAGTCGTTTAATTATAATCTCATCACTGTTGCTGGTTCAATACAATCTATAGCACTGACTGCAAGCTCTTGTTCCATCATTTCACATTTCTATGTCCATCCTAGCCACCTCACCTGAATATTAAGGCGTCCTCGGTGGGCACCCAGGCCATAGCGTTTGATGCTGGACGCACGCAGTTGATAGTCTGAGACCCTCAAAGACTCCAATCCCAGTGGTGGACACTCTGCAAGAGAAAAGCATAAGCCATCTATTACTTAACCATGACATGTCCAACCTCAAACCCATTTAGGGTTAATCTATGGAAAAAGATTAAAGTGACAGTGTGACTACAGGGGGGTGCAAAGAGTGAACCATGTCATGAGGTCAGAAGATCCACAATTGCAGGTGATGCAGCAGAAGCGGTGAATCTTCTTTACTGGTTATAGGTGTCTGTCGTAGACAAGGGGCAGAAAGGCAAACTCTGTTCTCAGTTACCAGAAATCCAGACCACTGATTATCACTAACGACTGCAGAACGTTTGGAGTTTAGGTGATACCCTTTCTTGGCTCTCCTAAGTTATTAAAGATGCAAGCTTTCAGGTTTCTTTAAAACAGCGTTACTCAACTTTTTGTCAGTCACAACACCCTTGAAGGGTGCGTAAAATCCTGAAGCAATTCAGTCTAAAATGTAAAAATGTGCCCCCTCCAAAATTGATACAAGACCCTTATCTCTGACAGGGGTCTGGCATGGCCTTTAAGGGGGAACCCCATAGAAAACTAAAAAAATAGGGTTCCCCTTCTCCTGAGCCCCCCTCCCTCCCCCCCCTTTTACATCAGGACTCAGGAGCCCCATTATACATTAGGAGCCCCTTCCATTACCATCAGAGTTCCCTCTCTAAGACAAGAGCCCCCCTTCACATCAAAAGCTCCCTTTCATATCAAAGCC